CAGCTGTCAAAGGCCGGAAAGCTAACGGTTCCCGCCATGAATGTCAACGACTCTGTGACCAAAACTAAATTTGATAATCTCTACTGTCCTCGAGAGACGATAGTCGACGCGTTAGTAATTTTTTTGCTCAAAAATGAATGCTTTCATTGAAATGCCAGTCGCGTTGAACCGGAAAATAATTACTATTCTTTAGGCTGAAGCGAACCACAGATGTAATGCTCGGCGGAAAGCAAGTGCTGATCTGCGGTTACGGCGAAGTCGGCAAAGGCACTGCCGCCGCTCTCAAAGGTGTCGGCGCTATTGTTTATGTCACAGAAATCGATCCAATTTGTGCCCTTCAGTGTTGGTCTGTATTTATAGACTGTTTTTTTTATAAGTCTAATTAAAATAATATGTTTTCTGTCTCACAGTATGGATGGCTTTAAAGTTGTGACACTCAACGATGTTATACGACAAGCGGATATTCTAATCACTGCCACTGGGAATAAGGATGTGGTCACTCGTGAGCATATGGATCGGATGAAGAGCGGAGCCATTATCTGTAATATGGGTCACTCCAACACTGAGATCGATGTCGTATGTGTTAACCATATTGATTTTGTTTCAATAATATTTACCACTTTATCTCATATTTAATAGCAAAGCCTACGAACTCCTGACCTGACGTGGGAAAAGGTTAGATCACAAGTCGACTCAATCGTATGGCCGGACGGCAAGCGTATATCACTTTTGGCCGAAGTAATTACATGACTATTTTATTTAAATTGTTTAATCTAATGGTTTGACTGTGCATTTAGGGCCGTCTCGTAAACCTTAGCTGTTCAGCGATTCCATCATTTGTTGTTTCAATCACTGCCACAACACAAGCGTTGGCTCTGATCGAGCTCTTCAACGCTCCCTCTGGAAGATATAAATCAGATGTTTATCTCTTACCAAAGAAAATGGGTATAAGAATCGGATTCTTATGACTAATGAATGTATACTAATTATATTGGATTTGACGGATCAGATGAATATGTGGCGAGTCTTCATTTGCCCACATTTGACGCTCACTTGACTGAACTGACTGACGATCAGGCGAAGTATATGGGCTTACAAAAGACCGGTCCCTTCAAGCCTCAGTATTATAGGTTTTTGTTGCTATTTTCATTTACTCCGTTATTGTTTTGTTTGCATCCGTTATTCGCTTTGTATCTCAATTGCCTGTTTTGCTGGGAATCATTAATTAATTGTCTTATATTTTTCTGTCATTCAATACAGATATTAATGGCGAAAGAGTTCTGTCGACGATTACAATCATTCCTCAAATTCCGGTTTAAATTTTTAGTCAACTTTTTATTTTAGTGGTATTTTTCGTTCACTTCTTTGAGCTCTTTATTTATTTAATTTGATCGAAAAATATGCCACAAAATAATTGCACAAAACTATTATGAATTTTATGTCTATTTTACATGAATCTGATTTGATTTGAATAACGAATCTCTAATTAATTGAACACAATTATTAGAGTTTAGGAACAAATAATCCATTTGTCTGTTATTTTATTTATTTTTAATTTGAATTGTATAACACTTTTTATCTGGTTTTACTTTCTTGTGAACTGATTTCAAATCTAATATATATTTATAATTATTTGAAACAAATGTTTTTTATATCCATTTTAGGCTTAGTTTCTTATATTTCAATTTTACTAACTTTTGTTTCTTTCTGTCTGTTATACATATGAATACATTATATTTTATTCTGATTTTCAAATTGAGATTAATATCTATAATTCATCGATGTTTTTATCATTTCAATGATTTGTTTTCATACAACTATTTTTCAAACGAACATCGATTTTAGTTTAGGTTTTCATTTCAATTTTTATTTTCTTCTCGTCATTAGATATAATTAGATGTAATTGTTATGACAATTATTTAATAGGTATTATAAGTTAGTATTCATTTAAATTGACTGAATTAGTTGTTAATATCCTATTGTGTGATAATTTTCGCATTAAATATTAATAACAAATTCATGTAACGATTTAGCATTTAGTTATATAATTATTAGTAATTAAAGTATTCGTATTTTATTAGTGAATTTTAGTTGTAGTTTTGCCATATTATTAGTACATTATTAGTATATTTTAATTTGATTTTATTATGACTTACAATTAAATAATTGAAATGACATTTTATTAGACATTTTTCATTAAATAATATAAAATTCAATCAAAAATATTTTTTAATCACTGTATCTTATAATCCAATGTTATATGAATTTTAATCATTATTACAATAATTATAGTGAAAAGTCACTGAAAAATGTTTTTCTAATAAATTGTACGAAAAATGTAATGAAAAGTGAATAGAAATTAAATAATGAATAGGATATTAGGATTTAAATACAAACGAGTTTTATATTTAATTTTTGAATAATTTGCTGATTTTTTATTTGCATTACTTTATATTATTGGATATAATGTTATTGTATTCTCAAATGTAATGTTTATTTCTGTAAATGAATTTTCATTTAATTATTCATTCATTTGGAAACGAGAGAAATAAAGAGATATTTACAATGAAATTAATGTTTTATTTTATTATTCATACAACAATTTAAATGTTAATTAAGAGATTTATCAATTTTTAAATTATAATATTCTTGTTTAAACCACTTATTCATATATTTTAATATAGAATATTCTGGGATTAAAATTAATGTATATAATGTGTTGAGCACTGGCTCTACGACAAGGAATTTAATCGATTGTAAACCACTTTCAACACAAAAATCTGATTCCTATTGTTTATCATTACAAGAGATGACACCAACTTTATTATCGTTTAAACGCTTCATTATCTCAAGTATTTCCCAAAACTGAAAACCGTATGAAAACTGATTTATACGACACTTTTAGGGCTACAAATGTTTGTCACTAAAATATGGTCAATAATACTACACTACAGTATATATTACACTATTATTTTGGATGACAAACACCATGTGGTCAATTGTTAGACACAATTATAAAAATATATTTATTAAAATTTGTAGAATAATTGCCACTTCTTTTTGGATACAAGTATTTTTCAAATTATTTTGCAATTTATTTTAAATGCAATAAAAATTTGAATGTAATGTAATGTTCGGCGAGTTTATTGCTATAATAAATGTTGGCATAAGTTTTATACAGTACTGGTTTTTATACATTAATAGTGTTTTTTCAAATCCATTTTATTCATTGAAATTAAATAATAAAATTATTTCTTATATAATCCTCTTATCTCAACGTTGTGTGGGTTTTAACTCGATGTTTGAATATGTTTTGAAGTAGACCTCAAGACAAGTAATAATTATGTTTCAATTCAGGATTAACTTATATTTTGTACTTTTAATTAATTTTTATTACTTTTCTCATAGTTAGTGAGTGTTATGGCATTTCTCTATCTTTAGTTTTCTTGAATATAATTACTATTTAATTAGTTTTTTTTGTAAAGAATTGTCAAATTATTACATAAAACCTGAAATTAATTTATAATTACTGTAAATGCAATTTTAATATAACTTATATGAATGCAATATTCGAATAATGGAGTTGCTAAATAAAATTCATACATATTTCGCAGATTTAGATAAGTATAGTAAATATATTACTAAATTTTTATTAATTTTTCTAATACAGTAATACTTTTAAACTTTATTTTATAAAAAATGATAATGTTTACAAAAAATATTTGACATCGTTTATTATATATCATTTTTAAAATGTCATAAAATGGGATCTTATTGCAAAGTTATTACAAATATTGTACTCACAAAGCGATCATCATTTTTAGTGCCAAACATTTAAAAGAAGATTGAATTTGTTGAAAGTACCCAAACATATAAAAATCTAATTATAAAAGTGCTAGAATTGATGCCTTCGTGAAATTTGCCACATATTCTGTAATACAAATATTTATCTATAGAATACGAACACTATTTTTAATATAATATATATTTGATTTCTAAAATGTTCAAAAACTCATTTCATACCTAAAGTCAATATTTTTATATAATAATAATATCTCAGGAGAAATCTAGTTAAAAGTACATCTCTAGAGCACTCGAGTACAGCTCTAATGCATTCAATTTTGTGCTTTTTTCAATTTATTTTTAATTGTGTTTATTTATAGTTATTTTAAACGTTTGATTATTTAATGAATTCTAATTGACATTTATTTACATTAAGATCTCGTAATTGTAATTTTAATTAAGTAAATATACTTAGCTTTTCATTAAGTAAATTAGATTTTTAAATAAATTAAATTCTCTTAATTACTGGTTGCTATAATTATTATTTAAAGCATTAATATAAATAACTTATAGTTAATTATAATGTAGTATAGTTAAGGATTTTAGATTTAATTAGGTATATAAAATTTATCATATTATTTCAAACGAGTAATAAATATATTTTATTATTAAATTAGAAATAAGTTTATTCTAATAATATTTATTAATTTTTTAATCGCGTGTAAATTTTCAACAAATATATATTTAAGCTTATCAAAATAATAACAAAATAAATAAGCAATTAGCGTTATAAAAATAATTTTTATTAAATTTTATGACATTTATAATCTACATGTAATGATACAAACTTTAAGCTCAAATTTAGTTTTAATATTTGGTGATGTTTTTGATGAATAAATACAACACATTACTACATAACCAACACAAGTGATTAGACACAGATTTAAGACATTTATATAAATGTATTTTGAGATCCATTTCAATATTAACCGAATGCCAACTGAAGGCTAAATGGCAGTAAACTGATGGTAAATTAGAAAAACATTATATCAGTCAATGTATAGCATTATATGATCACAATTCATACCCTCCGCCGATATTGCCGATAATTGTGGGCCCGTATGGGAAGAGTCCTCCGCCGCCACCAAACAGACCTTTTTTGAAGAGCCCTTTACCGAAGTTTTTGTATACAATTGGATAAGTGATTGGTTGAGTGAAGGGTTGAGTGAAGGGTTGAGTGATGGGTCCTAAGGGTGTTATCGGCGATATAGGCGACGGATTTAAAGGCAGTGGTGTTATGAAATATTTCTTTTTGAAGAAGTATTTTTTCGATTCGGACCCAAACATCGGCTCCGAGTCCTCCAACTCTTCAAACACAATGTTTTCGTTGCCAAAAGCGCTCACATTTGAAATCATGCATAATATGGTGAATGACAGCCAAATGCATGCAAATATTTGTCTCATTGTATAATACAAAACGGGTCTATAATCTAATAAAACTCTTGTCAAACAAAACTGATTTTTTGATGACTTATTGGCAATAAAATTGATTTTGAATTTGATTTTCACTTAAATATATTGCATTAGAAGAAAGTACAATGAATTTGATAGCCATTCAAGCGTTGGTCTATATATAGTCTATAGAAATGCGAAATAATATGAAATTGTCCAAAAAAAAGTTGAGTTTTTTCTCTTAAAATGCAAAAAATGGGTAAATTTGAGACCGAGATCTTTGCACTCAATTCTTTGCACACATATAGCTATACAATGAGTTCTTTGTACGAACCGTTCACTTAATATATTGTTTCTTATATTCAATACCTATTATACGATTGACTATTATATTACTGTTAGTAAATCTCTATAATATATATTACTTAAAATAAATACTTTTTTGGAAAATTTTTATCCCTAAATATAACATTAGTTTTTCAATATAACTAATATATAAGGCTTTAAATCAATTGATTAATAGTAGTTCCAAACCATTGTTTATTTTTATTCAATTCTTTAAGAATAAAATAGAAAATTGTTTAATTAAATGATTGTATATTTAATAATGTATTGTTTATAAAGTACACAAATGCAAGGAATTACATATTAGGTTAGTGTTACTCAAGAGGTATTAATACAATTTTTTGTTTAAAAATATGTAAAATAAGACAAATATATGAAAAATTATTTTCCAATCAAAATCATGTCTTCACTTTATATGTCAAACAAAAAATAAAAAAATATGAATATGAATGAGTGAAATGATTGATTCATTGAACACTATTAACAAACCTATTTTTGTCGGGTCCCTGAGCTTTGATCAACATATGAAAGTCGCCGTTTTTGCCCCCGAAAAACGCACCGTTAAGTAGAATCAGATTCCGGTCACGATTTCTTTGGCCATCGGTTTCCGATATTTTTAATATTAAACACAACATCAATATTACAGCAATTGTTTTCATATTTTTAACAAATGTTAAAACTTTTTAATTATAAAGTGCTCATCAATTTGTACTAATTGTGAATGAGATCAAATCTCGTTGAATAAAACCTTTTATATTGGCTTAAAAATAGCTAGAATCAATTATTTATTTCTTACTTTAGATTTTTAATTATTAATTCAATATCTAAAGCAAATGAATTAATTGAAAACTAAAATTAATTTTATAATTGCTTTAAATGTTTCTAAACTAAACGAAGCGAAGAGAAGTTCAGAAAACAAAACAAAAGAAAAGTTTTAAACGAAGTGCTATTTTGTTAATTATTAATTATTTGTTATGTAATTAAATATTTGCGTTGAAAATATATGCTAATCAACGATATAATTGTAAATTATTCACTGCACTCAATACAAGTATAGAGTCTATGAATGCATTTTTCACAAAATTGTTTTTCAAATTAATTTTCGTTGAAACCTATTGTCGATTATATGATAACATCTTGCGGTTCGGCTCTTCTTTCATAATATCCTATTATTTGCCATAAATTCTCGTTTTGAGAGTTAATTCTCCATAAAATCATATATGAAAATAATGTTATATTGCATTAAACTTGAATTTAATGATCCAAATATAAGGGGTATTTAAATATATTTAGATATTTTGTGTGTTTGTCGGAGACTTTCTATAACTGAAAGGCTCATTAACAGAGAAAAACAATGCATTTATTATTAGACAATCATTACAATCCCATTTCAATGCCTTCTCTCTATTATATGTAATCCAATGTTATGTCTAATCGCACGCAACGAATAAAACCAAAATGAGTTCAATCTTTGTAATTGTCTTATATTTTATTTATAAGTTATAAATTATTATTTCAATACTTATATTGAACTTCAATATTTATATTTAATAGTTAACGATATTATGTTTTTTCATCCGTATTTTGAGTGCATTTTGACAATAGTTTGATGTTTTTTCTCCTAAAAACACATTAATTTATTTCACAATTTGTTTGCAGAGAAGACACGAGACTAAAAATAATATATTTGTTTGATAAATGTGTTTCTCAACATTAATTACTAATTACCCATTCATATGATCACAATTCATAAGCCATTAATTAAAATTTATTTACATTATTAATCATATATTAACTTAAAGACAATCAATTTTGATTAGTTT